AAGTAATATGAAGTTCGCCACTTAACACCATGTAAATGCCATAGGGATGGGTGGATAGGGAGCAGCTTAAAAGCGTTGGCAATATCAGTTTTACTCAGCCATGCCCCTACCCCTGCTGAGAGTATGGCTGTGACTGCATGATCGATGGTGGCATACTGGAGGGAAAACTCCTCAGACGGGATTAGTGAATTTAGACTTGGGGTATGAGATGCATGGGGGGCGGACAGATCGAGAATTAATCTTTGTTTATTGGAGGATTTATTGGTGACCAGTCCTATGGGGTTTGTCCTCCAAACTGCGAAAGGCGGGGGGGTTGAAAGGGCCTAATAAGAAACCTTGGTCAATTTCCTTCTGTAGGAGTAAGTCAATAGTGTTGGGTGCTGCCAAGGCTGTCTGCAAATTATTACATTCTAGGATCCCCGTGGGCATGTGAATAATACCCGTGTGAAACCCCATCTTAAACCCTGTCACCAAAAATCAACGAGATGTTGGGAAGGGTGATCCCGCAAAAGTAGTTTCAGTAGGGAGACATGAAGAGACGATAAGTACTGCTTAGGGTATAGTTTATTTGGGCACATTGCCTTGGAGTGAGCTCTGAAACATAGTGAGCAAACATGGAGAAGTCTGCAGGCACTGTAACCGCAGGAACCTGAGTTGAAATTGTTACAGACCTGCGATTTACCCAAAAACACTATGTCACGGCCTAGTTTATCTTTAAGCACCTTGCCAGGTCTCCCTGTGGGTACTACATTAGGAGGTGGAAAAACAGCATTTACCTCTGGAGAATTAGGGCACAGATTAGCCGTGTGAGAATTGGACGAGCAAATGGCACAAGCTGGGGTTTTTAGGCCCACGAAGTGCTGGCAAAAAACCTCTGTATCCAGGACGCCCCAATCCGTTTGGTAATTGAACTGTGAAAGGGCTGCCGACGACTTCGCGGAAAAGGTAGTCGTAAAAAGACGTACCACCGTACTTATGCCCCAAATCCACCAGCTTGTGGAGATACAGGTCCAATTCCTCCCTCCTATCCGGGTATACCGAGCATATTACATCTCTGTATATACCGAAAGCTAGTACAAATTCTGGAATTGATAGCTTCTGATTCAACCTGGGGTCTCTGGACTTCAGTACCACTGACATCACCGTATGCGTAGGTCTTATTCTCTAGGACATCTTGTGAGGCTATCAAAAGTGATACCAAATTGATATCTTTCCCCTCCAAGATGTCCTTCTTTGTTTTAGCAGGCACCATGTGTGCGGGGTTAATAATATGTGGGTCTTTTAACCTATTTTGTAAATTACCCGGTAGGGGGTCCAAATGGACCGAAGCGGCCGGATCCACTGCAGCAGCCAGTGACTTTTGCTGGCTATCTGCATCCATTTTGTCTAGCTTGTCAGTAATACGACCCAAAGAGGTCAGGACTGAGGACAGAATCGTATTTAGATCTGAAGATTGGGTGCCACTGGACCCTTCACCCGCCCCCGCGTTATCAGTCTGTGTGTTCAGCAATCTGTACAGTTCTGCTTTCCTAGCTGTAGCAGGGAAAGGAATATTTCTCTTCCTTAATTCGGCCATGATCCTGGGAACAGTCCATGCCCTGAGTGAGGCAGGGCTTGCGAAGTCGTCACCCCGAGACGGAGTGACTGATCTAGCTGGTGTACTGGGTAAGGACTCAACTTCCCTTCCTTCCGGAACTTGGGACATGCTATAACATAAAATGACATGTTACCTGGGGTGCTATCCAACTGGCTTATGATAACTAATGCCAAGCGGCGAAGAATTATTAAGTAACGTGACAGGTGAGGCCCTGCTAGTAGCCAAGCGGCTAGGAGAGGCGCTATCTATGATTTGGCTCGTGTGGAGTACGTGGCCATTGGCATTATGGCGGGGTGGAGGCCTCTCTGTGATTTGTAACAGCATAAGACAGAATGGGAGTGACAAGTAAGGCCCTCTCTATGCAACTAAGCGAGGCGGCTAGCTATGAGTGGTCCCTCGCGGGACCACTAACGTAAGGCATAAGAGGCCAGAAAACGTAGCTAGTGGGTCCTATTTATGTAAGCCAGTAAATCTGTACTAAGCCGAAAGGGAAGGTATGGGGAATAATAGTCGAAAAGATATGACGTACCTGATGAGCGGGTTGACAGCTATTATGAGGAAAAGGAGGTACAGACGATCTGTAGTCACCTACGAAAGTAATATACATTTGAACGGGCACAGAAATATGACCCCTAACTCCCCTGTTATTCAGATACCTACCAGCAATATTGCCCTAGCAGAGGGCTGGGCACCAATTAATAAAAGAGCAAGGATGCCTATACCTAAAATACAGAAAACACATATAAGGACCCTGGCGTAGGGTGACTGATAAGTAGAAAATAACTCGAGTGAACTGACCTAAGTCCTGTGCAAGTTGTTAGAATAGCTGCCCACCGTGGAAATGCAGAGAAAATACTGAAAAGAGTTTAAAAGACATCTTAAGTGCTAATCATGCATATATAAATTCCCAATACCATGATCCGTAGTCATTGTTAGGCTAGCAGCCTAATAATTGTATTAAAATACGCGCCCAACATAAAAGTATCTGCACACATTGCTGGTTGTAACCTCATATGACAAACTTGCTTAAATAACTGCAAACTTTATGAACTTAAAATAGCATAAATGACAGAACAGGTACAAGAAACTCTAATCACAATTTTAGACACCAGAGGTCGCTCTGGAGCCTATACCAGTGTATGATTTTAAGTAACAGCGTTTTAATGAAATGGACACAAGAATAAAAGTAACGTGAGAAATAAGCATAAGTGTGCTTATAAAGTGACAAAGTATCAAGACGTGAATAGGTTGTTGTATAACATTGTATTATACTGGTACTTTGTGAGCGTGTAGCATATTGACCCTTAGTGATGACGTAAAACGGCCGCGCCGCCAAATTTGCGACGGCCGTTTTAACTTACGATTTGCAGCGTGAAAATTTGCCCGCCGACTGCCCGACCTAGCGCGCACCAACCCGTGGTATCCGGAGGTAATCCTGGATGCCTCCGAAAAAACTGCCCGACCTAACGCGCACCAGCCCGCCGGAAACTGCTGTCCGAAACCGGAAGTGACGAATACTTCCCCAGGAATCCGTCGCACCTAACAGGTAGTGAGGGAAGGGTCTGGAGTCCCTTAAGAAGGGTAACCCAGCCCTTCCCACAACTTCAGGCCACGCCTTCCATATATATATATATATATATATATATATATATATATATATAATATATATATATATATATATATATATATATATATATATATATTGCTTTTTCTAATATAAAATATTGGTCCTTTCAGCGTAAAACGTTTAATTATACAGTAAGCATACGCACATGCAGACACAGGCAATTTCACTGACATACACAAGCTCATTGATACACAGCCTCATAGACAAACAATCTTACTGATATACATCAGCTCATTGACATAAAAACACAAGCTCACTCACTAGCAGGCACACGCATGCAAGCAAGCTCACTCACTAGCAGGCACACGCATGCAAGCAAGCTCACTCACTAGCAGACGCACACACACAGCTTAATGTGGTGGTACTGGTGTCTATAGCATGTCCCTACAGGCTTTTCAACGTAAACACTGACTTTTCAGACAAAAGGCAGTGTTTACATTGTTTCAAAGTGACACTGCTAGTGACAGTCACTCAGACGGTCACTAGAGGTGCTTCCTGTGTTAGTGCACCTACATTCAGGGCCTCCACACTCTGTAGGTGCTGAACGTTCCCCATAGAGATACATTGATTCAATGCATCTCTATGAGGAGATGCTGATTGGAGTGGCGTTTTGCAGCCAATCCTATGGCAAAACATTGGATTGGCTGAGATCATCAAGCTTGATGATCTCAGCTATAGAGGCAGGGCCAGTCGAGGGGAGACCAGCACGCTGCGTGGGGAAAAAAAAAGGTGAGCAAAAACACTATTTTTAACACACATTTACACCATGACAGACACAGAAACACACCTATACCATGACAGATACACACCCCATGACGGACAGACAGACACACACACACCCCATGACGGACAGACAGACACACACACACACACCCCATGACGGACAGACAGAGACACACACACACACCCCATGACGGACAGACAGACACACACACCCCAAGACGGACAGAGACACACACACACACACACACACCCCATGACGACAGGCAGACACACACACACCATGACGGACAGACAGCCACACACACCATACAGACAGACACCATGACGGACAGAGACAGCCACACACACACACACACACACCATACAGACAGACACCATGACACAGACACACACACACACACCACATACAGACAGACACCACGACACAGACCGACACCATGAGACACAGACAGACAGACACACACACCCCATGGGACAGACAGACATGATAACACAGACAGACAGACACATTACCCAGGGAGGTCCCTTCTGATGTCAGCTAGGGACTTGTCCTGATGGCCGATGGGGAGCTGTGCTGTTTTCTGTCACACAAGCAAAAGGACGAGATCAGCGCTGAATATGATCGCCACACATTCCGCCGGTCTCATTCAGCTGCGCGCTGGGGAGCAGAGCCAGCACAAGTCCCCCAGCGGCCACCAGAAGCCCCCAGAAGACCTCCCCAGCGCCCGCCAGCAGACCCAGCTGTCTGCCCGGCCCCAGGTGCCGACGGCCCACCGGGAAATTTCCCAGTATCCCGGTGGGCCAGTCCGGCCCTGCCTAGGACTCCCCAAATCCTTTTCATGCATTACATGCGCTTGCCAGGAACTCCGCCATAGATGTGACAAAACAAGAACTGCTCCTTCTGCACTGGCAAGTACCCTCCCCTCTACACTCCTTTTTATATCCATCTTCGCCCACCCCCTTACTGCAGGGCAGCAGTCATGCTTCCCCTTCCTTGCAGTCCAGGGGATATCTATATATGAAAAACACACAAAAATACACATTTCCCACATAGGAACCTCCACAGTCTATACATCCCCAGGTAGCCTGGATCTGAGCGCCAAACAAATCCAAAAAGCGCTCAGATCCCACGAACACATCCGAAATGCCACTAGGGTAAAGTTCTGACCCGCCGTACACATGCCCATAAATAAAATTCTTGCACCATAGCTTTCTCTACATTGGTTCCACCACTTAAATCATTATGTTTAAAATTTAAAAAATGCATGCAGTCTGTGCCAGTCACAGCCAGGGGAGGTGTGGCTAGAGCTGCATGGACAGAAACAAAAGTGGTTTAACTCCTAAATGGAGTTAAAGGACCGCTATAGTGCCAGGAAAACATACTCCGCCGGGCTGGATGGAGAGGAAGGGGTTAAACGTACCTCTTTCTCCAGCGCCAGGCGGGGAGCTCTCCTCCTCCTCCTCTCCGCCTCCTCTCCTCCTCTTCAGCTGAATGCGCATGTGCGGCATGAGCCGCGCGCGCTTTCAGCCAGTCCATAGGAAAGCTCAGCACAGACTTCCAGCAATTGTTTGGGGTTCCATTGGTGGCTGAAAAGACTGTGGGCCCAACAACTTGTCTCAGTTTCTTAGGCCTGGATATTTATTCGGTGGTGGGGGAATGTTGTTTACCATCGGATAAGCTGGCTGTGCTTCAGGCGAAAGTGAGGGCGGTTCAGAGTGAGTGTAAGGTGACGCTGCGGGAAGTGCAGTCGCTGCTGGGAAGCCTTAGCTTTGCCTGTCGCGTTATTCCAATGGGCAGGGTTTACAACCGTTTTCTGGCGAGGGCCACGTGTGGGATACAATTATGTTCGGGTCCTATTATGTTCGGGTTTCTCATTCCATGAAGGAGGATTTGAGAGTTTGGGAAGACTTTTAATGGGAAGGTCTACTTTCTGGACCGAGCGACATCCTCGGAGGTTCACAGATGCGCCTGGCAGCGTGGGCTTTGGCACATACTTTGCAGGGAGGTGGAGTGCAGCATGGTGGCCGGTAAGTTGGATAAGGAATTCGGTGATGGGAAATCTGGCCTTTCTCGAATGGGGAGCAGGTAAAACACACAAATTCATCACAATTACATGGGGAAACACAGAATGCAAGGGAAAATCGTGGGAATAAACACTGGGAACACAAAAAATAGAAGGCAAAACATATGAATATTCAGTGGGCATGGTACTTAGTGGTGGTAGCCCGCCTTAGTTCCTGATGTGGTTGCGGTGTGGTCCGAGATGATTCCTCGGCTACATTGAAGACCTGCTAGGGACCTTGCCGCGCTGGCTCGGTGCCGGGGAAAGGTCAATAAGACTATGTCGGTTTTCATACGGCAGACAGGCAATGTTGTGGTGAGGCATCGGGATCTGGAAGGAAAGCTGTCTGGGAATTATTGGGCGGACGGGGTGCATCTCTCCAAGGTGGGGTTTCAGGAGGGTATCAGTAAAGCGCTAATTTTCCTGGGAGGGGGGCACTCAGGTGGTTTGAGGTGGTCAAGACCTGAGCTGTGGCGGGGTAAAATGAGTCAATAACATGTAGGGTAAGTTGAGTGGAAAATACTCACGGGGTTGCAGTGGTTTCATAGGTTCAAGCTCACCTGGGGATGTAGGGGTATCTTGGTATACCCTTACAGTTTGTTATATATTGTAAACATGCCACTTGGTTGGTGTGTTATGTGATTGTTATTCTTGTTATATTATGATTTATAATCATGTTTGGGGTCATTGCCAGGGCTATTTACCCTTAGGTGCGAGAGGGGAATTTTAGTATGTGTGTTAAGTGTTGGCAATGACCTTATGTTATACGATGTTTTAATAAAGATGTGGACAAAATTTTCCAACGTTAAAATGGTAGTCTGTGTTTTATTGGAAAAGGGTATTAAGGTTAAGATGGGTATGCTGCAAAAGGCGACTATACGCATATCAAGGGAACACAGAGATAGTTGACGGGCAGCTGGCAGAGCCCAGACCGACCCTACTGCATAGGGCAGGCAGGGAGATCTCACTAGGGTCATTTCAGAACCTGAGGGTCTCCCTTACACTGAGGGTGGGGATAGTGCCAGCCTGGAGGATAAAATTTGTTTTATTGGGAAGGAGGCTATGGAGGCATAATATGCCTCAAGCGTCGCAGATGCTCCTCTAGTGGCTGTCCGGAAGACAACTAGAGGCTGGCTTAACCCTGCAATGTAAACATAGCAGTTTATCTGAAACTGCTATGTTTGCATCTGCAGGGTTAAAACCTGAGGGACCTGGCACCTAGACCACTTCATTGAGCTGAAGTGGGCTGGGTGACTATAGTGTCCCTTTAAAGCCCTGCACTGCATAATGGCATAGACTGTCATGTGGTCCTTACGTAATTAAACACTCTCTCAAACGTTTAAAACTTCTTTAGCATGCACAGTCAGTTCTCGCTCAAGCCTGATTGGCTCCATTTGGCAAAACACTGCACTTTCTGCAGTCTCCGGTACTTTGAGGTGGGCCTCAGTTTGTTATGGCATATTTCCCAGGCTGAGAGGTAATAAAGGTCTTGGTCCTCGTGTGATGGTGCAGCTGAGTCCTGGGTTGATTAAGGCTGCTTGAGGGATGTCTGTGTTGGGGGGCTGGCAGAATTGTTTGACTTGATGGAAGCCTGGCGTTAAAAGACTAGAACTGACTGAACAGGTTGCTCCATCGTTGTGTGCTTTGGTATTGTCTTTTGCAAGTTTATTAAATATTCTATTGGGTGCTTTGGACATTGACCCCTGGCATGAGCTGATCATGCCACATGGATTGCCCCTTGTGTTCCT